TTTTTTTGTGTCAAAGGATGATTCGAATGAAAGTTCAAGAATCTACCTGAAAATGTTGGCTTACGGTACCAATCTAAATAACATTGATTTTCATTAACCGACACGGTAATATCTAGGAAATTTATCGCATTTCCGCCTCTTTCCACAGTGAACTGTAAGCGCGGATGGAATGAATTGAAATGGTTTAGTAACCTATCTATTTGTGTGAGGGATGTACCGCCGTACATATGTCGCCAACGTATCTATAGTAAAATAATGTGTCAACGTTCGACGATATCAAGGACACCGTCTCCAATCTCCTCATCACTAGGTCCGCTATTATGGGTGATATTGGAGAGCCCATGGGAGTGCCAAAGCATTGTCTGTAAAACACATCGTCGAAGGAAAAGAACGTGGAGTCTAAGACGAACTGTATTGCCCCCAAGAACTCTTTCTTAGGTAGGGAGCAATCTCTGGCAATAGCATGCAAATGATGTCACAAATGTGAAAACTGCTTATCTAATGTAATAAACACAATTTTCACTATAAAAGTTATCAAACACAAACAGTCAAAAGATTTTGATTGTTGAATAAAATAAGTGAGAATATCTATTCCAGAATTAACAATTAACAGGGAGTAATATATACAGAAGCTCATACAGAGATCTAAACGCTAGGATTATTTGATTTTCGATTTTCTCCCCTTTCTATTATAGATATTTTGATGATTACTATGGCTGTATGCTCTGACAAAGTGAACATAGTCCTAGAAATATTAATTTCTGTCCATCCAAGAATGTATTTACATATAGAAGTTAGTAAAAAAGTTGAACTTCTTGGACACTATTGTAATTATTAACGAGGAAATTGAATTCGATTGGTATCACAAATCAATTTTTTTCCGAAAAATACCTAAATTGTATTTTCTCAGTACTCAGAATTTCAAAAACGTAGTACGATCATGGCCTTATAGACTAATTTTTACGTCTTCAAAGTTAGGCCGCATTATTTAAGAAATTAGTGAAAGAGTGAAACTTTTAAAGGTCAAGTTGGACCTTAAATGCTTAGATAATGCAGTGTGAATTTAAATACTATACGTATATACAGTCCTTTAAACTGCGCAACAAAATGATTTTTCTTAAAATGCAAACCTGACTGAACTATCGTAATAATATCACAGATGTACACATAGGCATCTTAAAAACATCTTTATAACGTTGAACAAAGCATTAAAATCTTAAAATAATTTTATTGTAAAAAATGTTACCTCAGAGAATTAAGCCCAGTTCCCTTGCTTTCAGTGCGAACGTCTGTTACATCATCGATAGGCAACGTAAATAAACAATATTAAACAAAAAAATCTTAGGACCTTAATGTAAACAATCTTAATTAAATTAAATTTTATCAAATTAAAAAGTAAAACTAAAGATTATGCGTTGCGCGGATTTCCTCCGTGTCTAGATCCATTCTTGGAATGGCAACGTTTCGTGAATCATGCAGTCCACTTTATCAGGGCAAGGAACAGCCTGATACTGAGCTGTTCCTCCGGGCCATTCCTTTTAT